TTTAAATAAAAAAAATGAAAGTTAATATTCTTAAATAGAAAAAGTTGAAAATTAACATTTTTAAATAGAAAAAAATTGAAAGTTGATATTTTTATTTAGAAACTAACAAAATCAACATTCTTAAGTAGGAAAAAAAATAAAGTTAGCATCCTTATTTGCACATTTTCTCTATTGAAGTATATGAATGGGAAAATAATCTTTTTGACTGAGCTATGACTGTTAAATAAACTTTAGTTTGGATGTTTGTATTTTGTAATTGCAAGCTTGTTTTTTGTATGGTTTTATAACTAGTGAATGTAATGAGTTTAAGGTATTCTATGTACTTCCTTAATAAATTATTTTCTAATAATAAAAAAAGGAAGAGAAAGAAAAAGGATACATATAATTGTTGTGGAAAGTGGAAACTGCTGAGTTGAATCAATTAATAACATGCGGGACCCATTTATGACACAACTCGGAGTCATGGACTAGTTGCTTTTGCTTACTTGTGTATATAAAGGTTAAAGGCGTGTTGCCGGTAATGCAAGGAGACAGTAGCAGTACTTAATTGGTGATTGATCTGAGAATATTTTGATGGAGTGGAAATGGTTAATTTATGTGTTATTTACACTCTTCTTATTAGAAGGGCTGTGGTGCCAAGGGTGTTGGGACCAAGAGAGAACTGCTCTCCTCCAACTCAAGCCTTTCTTCACTAAAGTTGCGCACCTAGAAAACTGGGGCAGAGGAGAGAAAAATTTAGATTGTTGTCAATGGGAGGGGATTGAGTGCAACTCTACTTCTGGACGAATCATAACACTCAATCTCAATTACTCATGGTCCGAAGAAGAATTGGAGAATGTCATGTATCTAAATGCGTCTTTGTTTCTTCCATTTGTGGAATTGAAGAGTCTCCATTTGGCTGGAAATGGAATAGCTGGTTGCATGGAAAATGAAGGTCCTAATCTGTCTTTCAACTTAATTTCATCTTTTACTTAAAAAAAAAAAAAAAACCATTTGTTTATAGTTTCATCTTTATTATTTTTTATAGTAGTTTCAAATTTTTATATTCGTGGCTCCCAAAACGGAATTAGTAATTAGCTTGAATGTTGCAAGAAATTGTTTTGCAAGTTTTGAGAGGCTTTTTAAGTTGAGGAATTTGGAAATCCTTAATCTAAAAAGCAATCAATTGAACAATAGTGTCCTATCATCTTTTAGTAAGCTTTCATCCCTTAAGTGTCTATATTTAGCCAACAACAGTATCTAAGCATCTAACCATACTGATACAATATTTGTACATTTTTTACTTATAAAAACATGTTCTCTTATTGCTTTATCTTAATATTTATGTGTGGCTCCAAAATTAAATTAATAATTTTACATATTGCAGGTTTGGAGAAGCTTTCTAAGTTGAGGAATTTGAAAATTATTAATCTATATAGCAATCAATTGAACAATAGTATCTTATCACCTTTGAGTGAGCTTCCCTCTCTCAAGTCTCTATGTTTAGCCTACAACAATTTGCGAGCATCTAACCATGCAGACGGTATAATTGTCTATTTTTTACTTATAGAAACATGTTTCCTTATTGTTTGATCTTAATATTTATGTGTGGCTCCAAAATTAAATTAATAATTGTACATTTTGCAGGTTTCAAAAAGCTTTCTAAGTTG